TCAGGCTGAACAGGTCCTAAAGGTGTGTGCCTTCTGACCCCAAGGGTCCCTTTGAGAGTCACAGGTCCTGTGATGGCTTCTGCCCCTGCTCACTCTTGTCCTATCATCCTCTTCCTCAAAAGGTGCCCTGTGGTGATCCCAGGGGTGTCTGGTGATCGCTTCGTCAGGTGCTGCCCCCCATCCTCAAGGAGCACCCCGGGTGCTACATTCTGAAGCTGGACCTGCAATTGCTGCTGTTTTAGAAACTGGTCTTTAAGGTTAAGTCCTGCTCGGCTGTGGAGCAGCCATTGTCAGCACTCAGAATGCAGAATGGCGATCAGTGAGGCTCACGGGACAAAGGTTGAGCCAGCCTTTGCAGCTTTGCCTCAGGCACACTCAGAGGGCTAACCCTTTGTGCCACCACCACCCCCTCCCCCCAGAGCGTGTGGGAAAAGTGGTGACACTCTAGAAAACTCCAGATGACCTGTTAAAATGTTTGAGAACCTATGAAATCCCAATTCTGCAATCATTTCCTACCCTATTCTCCCAGACCTCCTTTAGAAAATTTGGGGAAACCATCCCATGCGTGATTGTGACCATCGCCCTGACGTTTTCTGGCACAAAGAGTGGCCAACCCCTTCCATGCTTTGGGTCTCTTTTATAATCATTTCTCTCTGAGAAGGTTCCGGTGACCACAAGCCATACGGCAAATAGCTGGTTTCTATCGATAGCCTCTCTGCCAGGATTCATGACTTTGGGGCGTTACTTGGATTGGACGATTTCAGGTTTCATTTCCACAGGCTTATTTGTTTCCTCTTTTGAATGCTTTATTGCTTCGTTATTATTTTATATATAAGTTTTAAATAGCAATGATTGATCATCTTTATGTCATAACGCTACTGACTGTTCCAACTTCAGAGAAGGACCCTGAGACCACAGAATGGTTTTATTAGAAGAAGCATCATCTCCTGTAAAGTTTCAGAACTTCCTTTTTTCTTCCGAGCTTTTCGGTAGATGACCTGAGGGCTTCCTGGGAATTTCTTCTACAAGTAGTACCCCGTTTAGGCTGAAGTCAGGAAAGGGTCCTGCATCCACACTTCCTGGGCAACCTCCAGACAGTCACAGCCCCCAGCCTACCTCCTCCTTCTTTGAATTCTTTATCTTTCTCTCCTTTTTCTTCCCTTTCTTGTTCCCTTTTACCTCCTCCTTTACCCAGTCCTCAGACTTTCTTTTGTTTCCGTTTTTTCTTCCCAGAGTTTCCCTTGGAGATTAGATAGAAACAACTACACGCCAAAAACTTTTCAGCATGGTGAACCTAATGCCAACCTTCAGCGTCCCTCGGGGAGGGATATCACGCCCATCACTTCATCCATCTTCCTCATGCCTCGCGAAGCCCCAGCCACAGGCTGACCTCTCTCCACGCAGTGCTGTCCTTCCTCTGAGATGCTTCTCTGGAGCACATTCATTGCCGAGACTAAGGTGCTCACACCCTAGAGGCTGCCTCTAGGATTGTGACTAGTGGAGCGTGTGAGCAGAAAGGGCTCGGTCCTGTGTCACTTTCACCACTGGAAACAACTGATCTCACTCTCCTTTACAGCTTCGGTTGCTCCCAACCAATCACACCAGTCACCACTATGACCACACCCCATGATTTCCACTCCTGGTTGGGGGAGGGGTGGGTGCCAACCTGCCATCCTGGGAGACTCTCGAAGAGAAACACTTTTGGTTGGATTTGGTTAGATGCTGGTATAACTGGAAAAGAAGGATGAGATCCCCTGTTAATACGCTGCTAAAGAACACAACTACCAAACCAGAGAGGTTGTGGTGATTTCAGAGTCATGAATAAAGCAATAATCAGTTTAAAATAAGGTTCCTTTGTACCTTGAATATTCAGGGAGGAGGGGGGAGGACAGCAGAGGGAAATCAAGAATTAGAGAAGAAAGAAAAACGTATTATGGTTCACTAATCTCTACACTTTTGCATGCTTTTTTTCTCTGCTTGTTGCATGCACTTACCCATTAATTATGTCAATAATGGAAAAGAAATGAAGCATTATGCTTGTGGTACAGCTGTTTAAAATGATTACTTTGAGACTGGTATGTTTTCCAGCACCTTTCTCTATGCATCTCATCACCAACAGACATCACTTGCTGTGCTCAGTTGGTCATTCTTCGCCCCAAACCCCCCCCCCCAAAATGGAATCAGTTGCCTCCCTGATACTTTAACTGCAGCTGTCACAGCTGA